CCTTGGTAACATTTGCCAAGTTGTGGTGACCCCCAACGGTATTCAGACTTCTGTATATATTAGAGTTCTATATAAATATCAATAAAATTTATATAAATGTCATTTTTGCTTCAGCAGGTTCTATACATCATACAGATGCGCCACTTTACGGTCAGTGAAAGGGGACCCCCCAGGCACCATATTTAAAGGAATTTTTCATTTTTAATGTTTCATTTTAAGTGATGTTAAATCACTGCTCCTTTTAAAAATTGCATTTTTTAAAAGTGTTTTTTTCATTGATACATGTCCCCCAGGGCAGTACCCGGATCCCCATACACTTTTTATGGCCAATAAATTGCATATAAGCCTACAAAATGGGGACGTTTAATTTTCTGAGTTCTATCCCCATAGACTTACATTGAGTTCTATGTTCGAATTAGAACTTTTTCCATGTTCGAAAGTTCGAATTAGAACCGAACACGGGGGTGTTCGGCTCATCCCTAGTCCCGACCCACAGGTTGAGAACCGCTGCTCTAGCCATTCATCCTCTTTAACATTACCAATGTTCCAAAACCAATGTCTTGAGGGCATATTCCATCCGCTATTTATAGATTAATTTATTTACAGAGGAAATACCGCCCTGTGTACAGTCATACACCACATCCTCTGTTAGTGGGATTTTATAATATCTCATAGGTGTTATCCTTTCTTTGAAGCCCACTGCATGATGCAATTGTAAATGGTGGTAACATCTTTATATATAGAGCACTCGTCATGTAACTGTTGAAATTATTTTAAAGAATGATCACTACAGTTTCTCAAATCTCAAGGTGCCCCATTGTTTCCAGATGACAAATCCTTCCAACTTTGCCACTTCCTTAATCATATAGTTATCCCAAAAAGGTATAAAAGAAGTAAACCCTTTTATCCTTTAGTAGTTCCTTAACCAATCTCCAAATTGTATTCAGCAATTGGAATAATGTTGCACCTGCGTTACTATATAACAGGGGTGCCCACAAGGTCGATCGCGATCTACCAGTCGATCGCGTAGCTATCACTGGTAGAAGGAACCGGCGGCGGGGGAGGGCGGAGGACGGAGCCGCTGTCGGAGAACTAATGCAGAGCGTTGAGGAGAGAGAGAGAGAGACGCTCGGCCAGGATCTGACAGCCGGCGCCTCTCTCTCCCCTCACTGCTCGCCGTTCTGTCACAGCGGCTCCGACACCCCCCCGCGGCTGAAGTGCTTTCACTTCTCGTCGGATCCCCCCTGCCTCTGCCCGGGAGAGCAGGGGGGATGCAGAGGAGAAGCTGAGCCCATTTGTGCGTGGCCGAGCGGCAGAGGATCGGTACATGTCAGTGGTATGTACCAATCCTCTGTGCAGGACAAACACTGGAGCGATCGTCTGATCACTCCAGTGTTTGTAAATAACTGGGGACACATAGTACTATGTGTCCCCAGTTATAAATGAATGAACAGGATGTGATTTACATCACGTCCTGTTCATGCATGAGTTTCTCAATGGGGAGAAGCACTCTGTACAGAGGCTCCTCCCCATTCAGAAACTGCTTGATAGTAAATATTTTCTGAATGAATGGGAAGCCTCTCTGCTTTCCATTCATTTAGAATAGAGGCTGCAGAAAAAAAGATTGAGGACTATGAGAGCTGGGTAGGGGGCATTTCAGTTTATCATTGACATGGATTTTACCCTCCCTGCTCTGTCTAAAAAAAGAAAGAAAGTTTTGGTTTAAGTATGCTTTAACTGCTAGGGATGGGGCAGGGTTAGTTAATGTGTATCTAAAGCCAAAACATTTTTTTCTTCATTTTCCAGTTCCCCAACCTCAAACCCCCATTTCTTACCTAAATCATATGGTTATTCTCCCTAGAGCCTTATGTTTTGGTTTAAATTTGGCATGGCTATTCATGGCTCCACCCATACAGCTGCATCATCCATTCACAGATCTTTTCACAAGATCTGCGAATAAAAAGACCACAAGTGCCACCTGCCACTGAGGGACTCAAAGATCTCAGTGGAGCACAAGTGAGGCTACATCACTGCACTTGTCCATGGATTAAGTCTTCCAGCCCCAGACAGAAGGTTCATATCTGTGTCTTGGCCTGGAGGTAAACAATGCAGGTGCCTGTGCATTGCACCCGTGATGTAATGATTGTTGTTACAATGCTCTGCAGGCTTCAATGCACAAATGTATTAAATGCACATTTATTTTTATTATGGATGCATTTTTACAATTTGATAAAAGACTATGCCTTTAACCCCCTATCAGAATATTTTTCACTGCCTGTGTCTTACTATTCTGGTAATAAGAGGAAATATCTTCAAAAATCATGAATTTTCCATCTTAGAGAGTTGTCATAGGAACATTTGTCCAAATTAATGTCTTTTCCTTCACCTCTCGCACTAGCGACAACTCTAAAATCATGCATTTGCTATCACTTTCTGTCTTGGTGACATGTGTCTTCAGATTATATAGAGGGATGATGACAAGGGTCTAATCTTTCTCTACTCTATTCAAAACTCTATACAAAATCCAAGGATTTCAGAGAGTAGCATAGCTACTACTCTTTTCCTCCCTCCCCTGACTTAACAGATCCCACCCTCTTGCTCCTCAGAAGCATACTTGCCAAGATCCGGCACCTGCCCTTCCCCCGTATTTGTTACATCCTGCACCTAAGTCCTATCTCTGCTCGACACGTAACTTCTATGGGGGTCGTAAAGCAGAGAGAGAACCTTGGTGCAGGATGTAAACAAACCAAGGAGTCCCTGGATTTTGGGAAGTGTACCTCTGTGGAGGGGGCAGGTGGCATCCATTATCTCGGGGGAGGACAGCAATAAGAATAGCTGCACTTTTTCTGGAAGTGCACTTATTCATTAAACAAGAAAGGATGTTTTAATGTAGGGACAGCTTTTTTTTTCTTAGTTGTGGACAGTAAGTGATACTTAATGGCTTTCACTAGTTTTCAGCGCCAAAACTGCTGCACTGGAAATGGATTCCCTATCACTGATTTGTATTGATGTATAGTATTGATATATCGTTACAGTAAACAAATTGTTATGTTGCTGCTTAAAAGGGCCTATTGCTTTATTTCCATATGTGGCTGTAGAACATTCGATTGCTTTTAATACCTTGTAATATCTAACTGAGGCTTCAAATTAACATTTATACTCCCTATTTGCCTAATTAGTGTTTTTACAATTTTTTCTCACAGTTGGAAAATAGAGTGTTTATCAGCTAATGTATGCGATTGGCCTTCGGATCATCCTCATGGGCTTTTGTCTGAAAATTGAAAGCACATTTGCTTTCTTTAAACATTGCCAAACATCGTCGTCTTTGTCAGCTTATTTTTAAGCTGACTTTGATGAGTGTGTTGATTATTTATTGGGGGATGTTCTACGCTGTTAGCAAGGTTTTTTTTTTCTCTGAATCCAGTTGTATACAAAACATCACATGTTTATTAAAGTTAATACAATAAAATAGTATTGAAACATATAAAAACATTGCTCATACTAAAGTATGCACCAGCAAAATCTTCCTTCACTTATCCAAACATCATACCTTCCTGGATCCTGCCAGCACATTTTCTTTACAATCAGCTCAATACACTCTTTAATCATCAATTTGAATACAAAAATTATCAATACATTCTTATAGAAAAAGATTAGTTTATAAATTGTGATTAAATGTTCAGTAGGTCCAGCCTTCTCATGCACTTCGCCAAAGCCTTCCATTGATACCAAGATTAATGCTCTGAACAGAATAATCCAGTGGAATTCTCCAAACAAAATGTCTGTATTCCCTATCCTTACTTTAACAGCTGCAATATACTAGACCACTGGCCCGCCCTGGCCGCAGACGTCACACACCGCGGGTCCCTATTGGTGTGGTATGTTGTGGCTGGTAAAGTAGGGATAGGGAATAGATGGGCATTTTTGGAGAATTCCGCTGAATTGATCTGTTCAGAGCATAACTCTCGGTATCCATGGAAGGGTATCAAGTTCTGCCTAATTTGCTTTTTTTGTCCGCTGCCAACTCTTTATACATCATACCTCCTTGTGCGTAAATTGATGATTAAAGAGTGTATTGAGGTGATCGTAAAGAAAATAAGCTGGTAGGATCCTGGGAGGTATGATGTTTGGATAAGTTAGGAATACTGTGATGGAAGATGTTGCTGGTACATACTTTAGCATGAGCAATGTTTTTAGATGTTTTAAAAACAAGGCTCCTGAAAGTGTTGGCTGCTAAAGATTATTCAGCCACAGTAGCTCTGAAACATTGCAAAGATCGGCAGCACGGATGATAGGACAGATAATTATAAGGGTCTACTTTACAGGAATATAGCAAAAAAGTTACATTTCAAGGATTTGTTTCTTTGCTCTAAACTGGTAAAACTTTAAAGCTCACTTAAAATATAAGTTACTGAGTTTTTTTCCCCATTCATGTTGGTAAGTAGTGATGGGCCTGGCTTGATGTTACCGCGGTTTGTCAGAGTTCACCCAAGCCCGCTCCAAATTGTGACTGCCACCCCCTTCTCCCAGCCTAATCAGTTGCAGAGAGGCACATTTACCGCCCCCCAGCTACACATCACAAAGGGTCGGGGAATGCCCCACCACAACTGCCGTAGCTGATTGGGCTGGGAGGGGGGTTTCACAGTTTTGAGTGGGCTTGGCCGAACTCAGGTGAACTGGGTTTGCACCAAGCCCAGGCTTGTCTCTATTGGAAAGTATGTTCCATATCTCCCCAAAGAAAAGAGAAGTTGGTTTTACCCAAATGCATGTTATGTAATGTTTACTGAGGTTAAAAAGTTGAAATGGTTTTGTCACTCATTGATTTTGATGAGGATGGGAGCATCTGGAATTCTCTCTTTTTGGCCAGGTGTACATGGAGTAACAAGTTTACTTAGCAGCATCGTTGTACATAACATTTACCAAGTATAACATACATGTTGGTTAAATTGTGCGAACAATTTAAATTGTTTAAAAAAAAAAAAAAATGTCTCTTGTTTTAGGTATACTACTCTGTCATACAGAGCTCCTGAAATGATCAACCTTTATGGGGGAAAGCAGATTACCACAAAGGCAGATATCTGGGTAAGGCATAGATCATATTAATATAGATGAATACCATTTGTTGCAATGACAGATCTGTAACTGCATCTACCAAGTAATGCTATTTTTATTGTGACATTCACATTCCAGTGATTTATTTCATTTCAGCTTTTAACGTCAAAGTAGTCCTTTTTACTAACATCTTTCATTCTGACAAGGAAAACACTGAAGGGTTCCATATACTTTTAGACATTGGCGACCACTTAGTCTTTATCCTATGACAATGCTTAGAAAATAGGATTGTTGTCACACAGAAGAACAGCAGAATTAAAACAAAAACAGTTATCTGAAGCTGGCAGAAATGTTGTTCTATTTCCAGGCACATTTCTCAACTGAGTAAAGCAAAAGAAAATGAGATACTTTTGTCAGCAGCCTTTTCTCTGAAAGTAATGTTGTATGTACCCAGTGAGAGTACTTTCAGGGCTATAAAATCAGTTTATAGCTGACACATTTCAGTTAGCTGCTTGAATACAGTTATAGAAAATTTGATTCGGGGCTAAGAGCAATATTTATTCTGAGAAATTTAGAAAATCATATCTAGGTGCAATTGCAATGAAACTAAAATGTGACAGTACGTGATTGGAAAACCTCACGTGCAAAGTCACACACAGATCTATTCCATACAAAAAATAAAATTGATTCTAATCTAGATATTTTAGTTATAATTGCACGACCGAAAATTGCCTTGTTTGTTAGATCAACATGAAATAGACACGGTCACCAACTTAAAAAAGATACAGAAAAATCAAAAATTTTAAACACTTGCAGCCTTTTTGTTTTCTATGAACAATTTTTTATTGACTTGCAGTGTGCCTCTGAATTTAATAGGAAATCGACACTCCAGAAATTCCAAACAGCCCCTGCCTCCTTGCATGCCATATCCCTCTCATCTTCTGGTGGTGTCTATTTAATGTCTGTGCTGGTCCATTTCCTTTACTTCTCCTATCACCTCATTGCATAAACGTTTATGTAGCCTCTTGGGGGAGTGCAACAGGGAATACTATAGAGTGTTGCTGAAGTGACAGCTCTGTGTCAATGGGAGCTGCTGACATCACATTCAAGCTGTCTCAGGGCAATGGATGATTTTACAGGTAAATAACATGCCTAAATTATATTAAATGCACATACTGTTTATTCTTATAGTAAGATGGTTTTTTAACCACCTCCGGGCCGGCCGTAGTAAAAAAACGGCCGGCCAGAGCTCTCTAGATCTGAGCGGGCGTCTTTAGACGTCCGCTCAGACACGCCCCCTCGCGCGCGCTGCTGTATAAACGTCAGTCAAAGTATAGCAGCGCTGAATACTGAAAAAAGGCCTGGCCAGTTAGGGGGATGTAAACACCTGGTCTTGAAGTGGTTAAATAATTAGATGTGGTTAACCCGTGTTGATCACATGTAAAAAAAAAAAAAAAATTGTTTTTTTTTCTTTTTAACTTTGCATTGGTACGTGTCCCCAACCACAGTGCCCAGCTTCCCATGCCTTTTTCATGACAGTAGTTTGCATATTGGCCCTAAAAGTAGTCAGAATTTAATAACAGCATATACTTCAGTTGGATTCTTCTCTAAATTTGGGTCTGCTGAATAAAAAACTAATTTACCTAAACCTTGGCCAATTGAACCCGAGCAGATTCACCCATATTTAGATACAGTGAGTAAAATAATTATTTAATCCCCTGCAGATTTTGTAAGTTTGTCCACTTACAAAGAAATGAAAGGTCTATCATTCTTATCATAGGTGTATTTTAAATGATAGAGACAGGATATCAACCACAAATCCAGAAAAAAACACATTATACAAATGTTATAAATTGAGTTGCAGTTCAGTGAGTAAAAAAAAGGATTTGATCCCCAAGTAAAACATTACTTAGTGCTTGTTGGCAAGCACAGAGGTAAGACATTTCTTGTAGTTGGATAACAGGTTTGCACACATCTCAGGAGGGATTTTGGTCCACTCTTCTTTACAGATCTTCTTCTCTAAATCCTTAAGGTTTCTTGGCTGTTGCTTGGCAACTTGAAGTTTCAGCCCCCTCCATACATTTTCTATAGGATTAAGGTCTGGAGACTGGCTAGGCCACTCCATGACCTCAATGTTCTTTTTCTTGAGCCACTGCTTTGTTGCCTTGACGGTATGTTTTGGGTCATTGCCATGCTGAAAGACCCATCCATGACCCATCTTCAGTGTTCTGGCTGAGGGAAGGAGGTTCTCATCTAAGCTTTTACAATACATGGCCCCGTCCCCTCAATGCGGCAAAGTCGGCCTGTACCTTTTAGCAGAGAAACAGCCCCAAAGCATAATGTTCCACCTCCGTGCTTGACTGTAGGGATGGTGTTCTTAGGGTCATGGTCAGCATTTTTCTACATCCAAACACGGCAAGTGGAGTAAATGCCAAAGAGCTCAATTTTGGTCTCACCTGACCGCAGCACTTTCTCCCAATCCTTCTCTGAATCATTTAGATGTTCATTGGCAAACTTCAGATGGGCCTGTACGTGTGCCTTATGGAGGAGGGGGACCTTGCGGGCACTGCAGGGTTTCAATCCACGGCGGTGTGTTGTGTTACCAATGGATTGTTTGATGACTGTGGTCCCAACTGCCTTTAGATCATTCACAAGCTCCTCCCCTGTGGTTCTGGGCTGATCCCTCACTTTTCTCATGATCATCCTTACTCCATGAGGCGAAATCTTGCATGGAGCTCCAAACCGAGGGCGATTGATGGTTATTTTGTATTCCTTCCATTTGCGAATAATCGCTTCAACAGTTGTTTCCTTCTCCCCAAGCTCCTTGCTGATAGTCGTGTAGCCCATTCCAGCCTTGTGCAGGTCTACAATCTTGTCCCTAACGTCCTTTGACAGCTCTTGGTCATGCCCATGTTGGTGAGGTTTGAATGGGCGAAAGAGATTCTGTGGACAGGTGTCTTTTATATACATAACGAGTTGTCCTTAGGAGCACCTTCTTAAATTGACAGGACTAATCTGTGTACCACATAGCCAGTCTAAGGGAGCCAGAATCATTATTTGTTGGTAGGGGATCAAATACTTATATTACTCGCTGAACTGCAACTCAATTTATAACATCTGTATTATGTGTTTTTTCTGGATTTTTGGTTGATATTCTGTCTCTATCATTTAAAATACACCTATGATAAAAAATTATAGACCTTTCATTTCTTTGGAAATGGGCAAACTTACAAAATCTGCAGGGAATCAAATTATTATTTTCCACACTGTATACCACAAGCCTAACAAATGCTTTCCCATGTTTACTAAAAGGCGTGATTCCACCTTTTGATTTGGAATACGTTTTATTTTGGCCTATACTAGTTTGTGCTTTTTGTTTTATTCCCTTCCACTACTATATATTTGCATAGTAATTGTCAGAGGACAGATACTCTTAAATTTTTTTATAATCTTCATTATATAATATGTAAGGTCTAGCTACGCTTTGCTAATGTGCACTTAAACCTCTTCTGGATCCTTCCTTAGTGAGATCCCACCTCCAGAACACAGACTGATCTTTACCTGGTGTGCCCACCTCCATTGGTCTTTCCCCAGTTGGATCCCATGTTCAAAACACAGATTGGCCCTTTCCCAGTGA